AATGCAACGTAAACGACAGATATTTTATTTAACTATGTGTTTATAGGGTTCAAAACTTCAAGGGAAATTTCTGGTTTTAGTACATCTGACATCATACCACCTATAGTGCTGGATTCTGGGAGATTTCTTTATTCAAACTTGAGTAATTTTTTGCTAAATATCAACTTTTTGGCGCTTTCAACCATGTTATAACTGAAGCTTATTAATCATATTTTTATTAATATATTGTTTTAGCGAATATAGCATTTTCAAATATATAAAGGCAACGCAAGGCAAGTTTATTTGTATAGCACAATTCGTAAACAAAGTAATTCAAAGTGCTTTACAGAATAAGAAATACATTAAAATCACAATTTAAAAAAAAATCAAAACATAAATAATCATCATAAAATTAAAGATAAAAAAAAAAAAGAGAGAGAGACATTAATTACATAAATTAGAGACAAAAAGGTGACATGGTGATCAAAATCTAAAGCGCTTTGTGTTGCATTTTTTGTATGAAAAAAGCTCTATAAATAAAGTTTGACTGATAAATATGTCATGTGTTAGCACTTAATACCCCATGTGTATGCGTAATAAAACAGGAAATTGGTCAGATATTAATTGTAAATACTACAATATGTACGCAACTCTAGTATTTCATTATTTCTTACATCTAGAACAGATAGTTAAATATTATATCTTAGTTTATCACAACATTTTAAAAGCCAACAAAATGCAGGCCTATGCAGTGATTAGCCCTCTCATTGGAACCATCTAAATCTGGGCGTACACTATATTTTTGATCATTTCACTCAGCCCCAGCTCAAACTGTCCGACCAAATCGCAGAGTTTAAAAGTTCACAGGTCATGATTCATGTTCTCACGCTATACGAACGACTTCAACAGTGTGAAACCCTCACAAAAGGCGACTGGATTTCAAAAAGTTTAGATGTTCTTGCAGCCTGCGATTGCCGATCAGGAGCTGGTCATGAGGTATTAATCGGTTCTCGTTACCCCATGTTTACTCCACGAAGCACGACACACGATTAAGACAAAATTTAATCCCAAAAACAGTTGTGAAAGTGAAAAATCATGTCAAAAAGGGCCAAAAAATTGCTCATTTAAGATATATCTGTAAAGCAAGACTCTTATAGGTCTAAACTAGATCTAAAATAGGACAGCAAATGGCTACAGGACTTATCAAAAGAAAAAGAAATGTGGATACAATCGGGTTGTGAAAAGTACTAAAAGTCAAAGTACTAAAAGTAAATCGATACTAAAACTAATATCAAAACAAAATTTTCATCTGAGCAAGTATCAGTACTAAAAAGTATGACAGAAATGAACCTTTTCTGAAGAGCATGAGCCCATGGACCACTATGGAATGACACAGATATAAAGCCACATGGTAAATTATCACGATTCAGGGCTGAAAATCACATTATATTGTCTAAATAAAGAGTGTTTTTATTGTCATTGTGGTATCAGAATCAGTATTCAGTATCGAGTCTATTCCTTAGTCTTGAAATTGGACTTGAAAACCCCACCTACACAAATTGCATTAAAAACACGCTGTAACTGTTTCCATTCTGATTTCAAAGCCAAAATTTTGTGCAAGGAGCTAAAAAAATCTACATAGAGTCACTAACTTGTTTTCACTTGAGAAGAATTGACTCACTGTGGAAACCACTGACCTGCCTGACCTATATTATTACAGCTCGACTCTTGTTTGTCTGGGACCACATGCTCATCAGCTGATCCACAAGACAACTTTAGCTTTTCTTGGACATTTAAACACTCTGTCCTGTACTTTATCCACTTTCTGTACAGACACTGCCAGAGGTGGAAAGGAACTAATTATAAATATTCAAGTTACTGTACATGTGTATTTTGGGACATACTTGTAGATTTTTATACATGTTTCTGTGCTTGAAAATGAGTATATTTGTAGCCATGGAAATGCAATTAGTTAAATAAATCAATGTTATTGAGTAGACTACAGCACAAGCCCCAATTCTTCCAATGCACTGCTGTTTTACTACTGTTCTCTACTCCAAAATGTGTACTCAGGTAACTTACTACAAAATAATATCACTCAAGTTGAAGTACAAAGTAGTGGTCCAAGAAATTTCTCAAGTAAGAGTAAAAAAGTATTAGTACAACTCAAGTAAAAGAGTAAATGTTGGGATGTGATTTATAATTTAAAGTTAGAATAATTGGATGGATAAAAGATTAAATAATAATGCACAAAATCTGTTATTTTCAAAGAATAGACACAAAATTTTGTAGTGGTGCAGAAAGCTTTTGTCACTTGCAGACTCACGGCCTGTTTACACGAGAACGCTTGCACGTAAAAACGACAAAATATTTTATCGGAAGTGCCTTTCGTTTAGATGGTGACAGTGTTTTTGGGGCTTAAAAAGGCAAAAATCTGAAACCATCCTCCAGAGTGGAAAAGTTGAATACTCTCCACCGTAGCGTTTAAGTCTACACTGCCCAAGACGCAAAACTCTGGTCAGATCTGCTCACGTCGCGTACGTTTTTACATCACATACATCACCACCTAGTGTCACCACCGAGCCGCCTGGCATGCATACACAATCAAATTCCACACACTTTTGCGTCACCATATACACACAGATTTCTTCCCGAAACGCTCATCTAAACACGGAATAAAAAGTAAAGACACGACCCCACTTTTACATCTTCTGTTCAGACTGTCATCATATAAACGTAGCCTTACTCACAGTGGGAAAAGGAACCAAAACTCAACTCAAAAAAAAAAAAAAAAAAAAAAAAGCTGCTATAAAAGCACTCTGAGAAGATAAGATAAGATAATCCTTTATTGTCTTGGGACAGGGGGTAACATGTTTTATCAAAAAACAGGACAACACAACACAAAGCAGCACATAAACAAACACCATAAAACAAAGTAAATATGAGACCAAGTATGACCACGAGTGATGCACCAACACAACCCTTAAATTATCCTTAACAGGCCCTTGCATTCTTCTGTTCTATTAATTATTGCACATTCCCTAAGCCTATGTGCAGTTTTAGTTATAATTATTGCACATTCCCTAAGCCTATGTGCAGTTTTAGTTATAATTATTGCACATTCCCTTAGCCTATGTGCAGATTTAATTATTGCACATTCCCTAAGCCTATGTGCAGTTTTGATTGCACATTCCCTAAGCCTATATGCAGTTTTAGTTATAATTATTGCACATTCCCTTAGCCTATGTGCAGATTTAATTATTGCACATTCCTTAAGCCTATGTATAGCTTTAATGGCACATTCCCTACACCTATGTGCAGTTTTGATTGCACAATCCCTAAGCCTTTTATAATTATTTTTTAACTGCATTATCTGAGTTTAGCAGTTTAACAGCTAGTGGCACAAAGGAATAGAGAAGTACAGTTTCTTTAAAAATTTACTCAAGTAGCTGTAACTGGGTAAATGTAACTGAGGGCTGCAATCATCCAAATAGTTTTCCAGAAAGTGTAGGAGTTTAAAAACACAATGGACTTCCACTTCTTGTATTACCGCATGTCATGTTGAGAGCAGAAGTAGGACCCAAAATACAAGACTGCATTTCCGAAGTTATTTAACAAAAAAAAGAATGACCAAACACAAAAAGCCAAACAGATGTGAAACTGATAATGACAAATGAACCAACAAAGGTCAAAGGAGAACACAGGGTAAATATGCACACAAATGAAAGAGACACAGGTGAGACACATGAGGGCGAGGCAAACAATCAATGCACACAGCTAGAGAAATACACAATAAAACCCACTCAAGAGTAATAAAATAATTGGAAAAAAAAACAAACATTTTCACTGAGAAACTTTTTTACACAACATGGCAACCTTTTATTGACCATTTTAATCGTAGGTAAATATTGAGACAGCCCTATAATATAAGTGTGTGTGTATTTATATATTGTTCTTGTTATTGTGTATTGTTTATATATGTATGTATATGTATATTTTCTCTGCGGGTATTTTGTTTTGTTCTTTTTTTAAATTTTCTAATTTTATATATCTTCATTTCAAAATTTTCTGTCTCTGAATAATTCAAATGTAAAAATTGTGACATATTGTTGGAGACTGCGATGTATATTTTGAAAAAAAAAAAAAAAAAACAGCAATAAAATAAAGCAAAGAAAATGAACACCATGACACCGCATGACATCAGAAAGTGGAACAGACTGTTTTTTTTTGAGAGAAGAACTCAGTCTAAATATGCAGGGTTTGTGTGTTAAACATGTGAATGAAACAAAACACAACTCCAGGTCTGTTTCGTGATGAGGAAACAAGGTTATAACAAACCAGAAAAGATCTAAATATCGTCCCTTTAAGCTTTGGCTGCAGTATGTGAGTAGGCTACATTTTATATTCAGTACGTTACTGTTTTGATCCCTGGCACTTGAACTGCACATTGCATAATCGCCACAGCATTAGCACAGAGTTGGAAAGATGATAGGAGCTTGCTTTGTCGTTTGGGGATCACAGTTAGCTGAAGGTGCAGAAATTCAACACGGGTAAACTGCCTTTTGCAACATGACCAACCAAACCAAACCGTGACTTTGTGTATTTAAATAACTTCACGTGATCCACTTGAGACGGTTTGTCAAGTTTAAAGCGAGTTATTGCGCGTTAACAGTTGGTCTAATAATGTCCGTGTTAATTGTAGCTGGCAGTGTGACGGTCCACAGCCGCTCCGCATCAGCGCAATCACATCCACACGGGAGGGGGGGGGGAGGACACGACGACGCGCCCTCTAGCGGCCACAGCGCGCACGTACTCTCTCCCGCGCCACGCTCGTCTCCTCTCCACACGCCCTCCCCTCCTCGCACTCGCAGTTCAGGAATCAGGGCTCGCTCACTCGCGGCTGGCTCTCCTCCTCCAAGTCTCTCCACTACTACTACTACTACTACCGGCGAGGAGCGCGCTCGTACCCCGGCCACAGCGTCCCCCGACCTGCGCACGGAGGGGTCGGTCCACTCGGGAAGAAGGAGGAGGAGGACACAGGAGCCACTTCGGACCCGACCTGAGCGGAAAGAAAAGCAAGTTAGGAGAGACAGAGACGAGTGCACAGTTAACCCCGCGACTGGGGGTTAACGCCACTTCGCCGCTTCCGACATGGATAAAGTTATGAATTGCGTTTTTGCTGCGATGACCCTGTTGTTGTCTGCGAGGGGTGAAGTTTTTAAAGGTAAGGTGCATGCATTCCCACGTCTTTTTTATTTGGGACCGAACGAACTGCCGCGCGTAACTACCACGCTTATCGCTGCAACTGTCAACTAAAACCACGCGGATTGATCTGTGGATGTAGTTTGAACTTGTGATGGCGTGTTTTGGGAAAGGTGTTTTGGATTTTAAAGGACCTGTATTACGCAGAATCGACTCCTGTGAGCTTTAAGCCGTGTTAGAATGTCGTTACCTCATCAAAATCATACCTGGAGTTGTGTTTTGTTTCATTTACGCACGACTCACCCTTTATTTATTATCACTAAAGCTCAAAATGCTCTGTTCTACCTTCATGAAGTCAGAGTTTTCCAAGTTAACAGCTACATTTTAAGCGTTTGTTTAGTAGAGATTGGAAATTCCAAGTTTGAAATCATCCAAATGATTCTAGTGAAGCTGTAGAGTTTAAAAACACAGTGGAGCATTACATCTCAGTGTTAAAGAGAAGAATTCAACCTAAATTTGCACGGTTTGTGTGTTAAACATGTGTGGATGAAACAAAACTCCAGGTGTGTTTGATGAAGAAGCAACATTTTAACATAAAAAATAGCGTAATACGGGCGCTTTAACGTTGCATATCGGGTTTGTATTAAGTTCTGGCGTGATTATTGTTGTCTAGACCTCACGTTTTCCACCAAATATGACTCACGTTGCATTTCACCCGCAATTTTTTAACGAGCCCCTTATCCAGAGCCAAGCATTCATTCTCAATTTGATGGTAGCGCAGAGCAGGTGCGCCTACGGTCAGCTGTCCAACTCCTCTAAACAGCATCTATTCACACGGGTTCAGAGTGCGCCACTGTTTCTCCTCTTCTAACTTTATCTCGACAAGTTCTGATCTAATGTGATTAACCTCAAAAGCGACATACGTGCCCCGAAGTAAGTCCTAGTTTCTGTCCGGATAAGCCTTTACGCACAATAACAACACGCGTATAGATCTATCCACGGAGTTAAAAAACGTGAACTCGGGCTTGAACTCGTCTTCGTTGTGGCAAATTGCAGCTGCCCTCATCTCAAAGTGGCGCGGATAACTGTTTAAGATGAGCAGTGTGACTCGGATTTGTGAAGTGGAGATGTTTTTCCACAGTTTTCTGGGGCTAGAGTCGCTGTGGAGAAGTAGTTCAACTTCGAGACGAACTGTGCCATTTTGTGCTTTAGTTAAACCAGCATCCACAAATTGTATAGCTGAATTATGTCAAGAGAATGTTATTTATTATATTTTTACGATTTTTAAGCAAATATGTAATTGCTGTTCAGTTTGGAGGTCTGGAAGTCAATATTTTAGAAGTTGTTTTGTTTCCACCGGACATTTTACGCGTGTCTATGAGTTAATTTGCGCGCGTAATAGACTCAAACTTTATTGATCAACAAGGGAAATTACTTATGCTTATAAAGAGCGCGGATCTGCTCCAAATTATAACTTTGTCACTGAATTATCGTTGCAGTTCTGTGTTGCAATTACTGTTAAAAAGTTTATTCTGCGTATTTTTGCTTTGCCTCTCAGTTTTCACTTCCCAGCTCTCTTTAAAAAATCTATTCCATGCATTTTGTGCCCAGTCTTTCTCGCCTGTGTACGCCTCTCAGTGTGACCTTAAGTTAATAGTTCAGAAATCAGCGGTAAATTGTGATGTATTCATCCAAACTGTTCAGGCGACGTTAAAATGGCTTTCACCTTGGCTGCGGCGCCCTCTGATTTGCCCAGAGGACTTAACATTCTCTGCGCTGTACCCGGAGGGGCCATTTCATCCGTATTGAAGCATTATCTATGTTAAAAAGGTGCATTAGCCCATATTCATTCGTGCCAATCAATGCGCGCGCCTTGGGAGCCCACGCTGACCTATTCGGGGATGTAAAAGTTAGTTAGAAGTCAAAAGTTTGAGGATTTAGATGTTGAATTTGATATTAGGGATGACTGAGTTTATGCATGATAATTCTGGAAGTATTGTGTAGTTTAAAGTAGATACAAAATACAAAAGATGACTGACATAGTACCTTTAAGTTGCCACAAAAGATTTTCCAAGCTAATTCTAATTTCTTGACACTTGAATGTGATTTTCAGCATCAAATCTTAGTACTTTCTTTTATATTTTCATGTGGACTTCAATCTTTGTAATCCCTCAGTGGTCCATGGGCGTGTACTAGTCTATGTGCTCTTATACTTGTACTAATACAGCTCAAAATCATTCAGGAAAGGTTAATTTCTGTCCTGTGAATGTGACTTTTTTAGTATCGGAACCTGCTCAAACAAGTATATACTTTCGATACAAGTTTTGGTACCGATTAGTGTCTGATTTTTGATACAATCCTAGTTTTACATGTGCTACAGACTAAATAACATTCCGATAACAACACCTAAAGTTAATAATATGACAGATTATCTCTATAAATCTGTAACTTTACGCGTTTTTGAGGTGTTAACTTCATGGTATTTTATGATCTGACTGGTTCACAGATGAGACAGTCCCTTGCCTAGTGCAGTTTGTTGTTGTGGTGGTGTCTGTTACGCGGTGATGCTGACAGATGATGCTGGCACTTCCCTCGGCGGCCTGTTGGGGGCAGCATGGCACACATTAAATATGATCCAGAGATGATGAGGCTGGAGAGCTCACTTCAACTCACGGAGCAAGACGAGAGGTGCTTCGGAGGAGGTTGAAGTTTGACACGAATTGTGATTGTTTTCGTTATTTATTTATTTTTTATTTATTTTTGTTAAATTCTGAAATATTTATTAACTTAAAATGCAATGTCCCTATACCAAATATCGCCCATTTAAATTCTTTATATTTTTAATTCTACATATTTTTGTGCCAGCCTTTATTGCCTACTTTTAGTTATATTGTTCTGTAGAGTATTTTTTGTAGAATATATGCACTTTATTTACAATTCCTTCTATTTTATTATCTGTTTCCGCTATATAAGACAGTATCTCCCCTAAGTTATTCACTCCATATTCATTTCAACTAAAAAACTGCTAAATACTGGCATCAATAGCTCAGTATGTTTTGATACAGACACTCAGAGCATGCATTGTTTTGTTTTTTCGGATAGCAGATGGAAAGTGGATTAACTGCACTTTCTGCCAATAAGACTGGAGTTTTGGTGGAAAAAAAAATTAAATGTTGTCAGTATAATTTCCACAATATTAATTTTCAACACTTTTAAACTCTAACTTCAGGATATAAAACGCCCAGACTCTTAACATGACTCCATATGTAGAATTTTTTGGATTATATTTTGAATTTCTTACCAAAAAAAAAAACAATTTATAATCAGTATTCTAATTTTACCAAAACGACAAATGTGATATACCACCTGAACTTAAGTGTGTAACAAAGCTTAAGCTGTTTACGTCAAGGCTCAAGTTAAAAACAAACCAAAGTATTGTGTGTGTTTGAATGAGAAAATGTCTGAAATGTGAAGCTGCACTGTTATAAAAATATGTTTAAAGATTGGTAAGTTTAGGAAAAGCCCGACCAGAGACAAGAGTTGAGAATGAGCGGTTCTACCTGTGACTTTGTACGACTGCAGTGTCCCTGTCAAATAAATAAATACGATAAATATACTCTCAATAATGTCTGCCATAGCTAGTAGGGGTGTAAGAAAATATCGATTCAGTGATATATCGCGATACTTCATTGCGCGATTCAAAATGTGTCAATCGATTTTTAAAAGTCATGTTCGATTTAAAGTTCTCATGATTTAAAAGTGAAACAAACTGTATTTCATTCAGTTTTGTTCTTGTGAATGTGTACTCGACCAAAATAGTAAATCACAATATATCATCCTTTGTTTTAGTATCAGGATATATCGGGATATATTGAATCGTGATGCGTATCGTATCGCCAGATTCGTGGCAATACTCACCCCGAATATCTAGCAGGGACGGGACGAGACAATTTCCACGAGACGAGATACGAAACTGGGTCCACGAGTACGAGACAAGATGAGATTTTGACATAATTCCTAATATATACATTTTAAAATTCAGTTTCCAATTTTGCACTCGCAGTTTTACTTGATTTCATATTTTTGTTTACATTCTAGTGCGTAAGAGTCATAGCTTTTTGTCCAATCCGAACGTAAACAAATCTCGAGGCAATTTCGTCTCGCGAGATCTCGCACCGACCCTGATATCTTGACGTGATGCCGCGTTTCTTTTACAGTGAGCGTAGAAGTTTGAGTCTCCTTTTCCCTGTTTATCTGTTTCCATGCCCCAGATCGGCTCCTACAGCAGACTACAGCGATGCTTATCTAAACACCGTGTCGAGTTGTTAAAGAGTTGCGGTCAATACCTGCCTGCAGCCCTCTCCCAGCCCCGCTCCGTTCGGGTGAGAATCTGATCAGCCTGCCCCCCCCCCCCCCCCCCCCCCCCTCAGCCCCCTCGTAGACCACCCCACCCCCGTCTCTCCCCTCCCCATCGCCTCTGGACATGTAGATCCATCAGACTGGCTCTCACCGCTCCGGCCTCCCAGCGCCACAGAGACCGTCGATAAAAGCGCTCCTAATTGCGAGAGTGCGAGCGCGCGCGAGTGTAAATATGTAAACCACGAGGAGGAATCGACCGCGTGTGTTGTGTTTCAGAGTCAGCCGGGCCACGCTCACGGGTCGGCCCCACGGCGCCCCAAACGCAGGCTGGAGAGTCTGGAGAGTGTGCGAGCAGGTTTGCAGAATCGCACGGGGGCCAGGCCTGTTCAGATATACAGATACAGTTAATCCCATAAACCCTCCGAGTGAAAAAGTCCCCACTGCATGTTTACAGAATCTTTTTTGGAGCAGCATTGCAGTTTTCATCTTTTTAATTCAGGTAACTAGTGAGGATTGTACAAATGTAACTGAAATACAGCAGTGGCTCTCATAATTAAATACATTTTCTTTTCATTAATGCATTGAACGGGATAAAAGAAAGTTATGTTAAATACTGTAGAAAGTCCTATACGATTTTTACACAGTTCCAGCAATATCATGTCT